CTTACCCGCGATTTTTAATCTTGTCGTTCAACACATTATCAAATTCATTGTATTTGATTCCTGTTATTAAGCCTTGTGGACTCGAAAAGGTAACTTGGATGATACCGTTATCAACGACCACCTTAAACAACAACAAAATAAGCATCAAGTATCATATTATATTTTTTTTGACCAATATACACTACTATTTTAAATTTGATAAAACCTTATAGCAGCATAATTATATCAGAAGATGAAATAGACATTACGATCGTACTTTGTCATGACCAACTTTTTTAAGTGTAACCGGGGGAGATGCGAATTTTTGTCCCGGTTTTGCGATGTTCAAATTGTTTCTGTAATAAAATAAAAAGGGGTTAGATTTAAAAAATATATATATATATACAATTTACATGAACCTATGTGTAGGTCAACTGTCGATTAGATACGAGAGGGGAAAGAAGTCTAATATTACGAACATTTGAAAGAAATCTCTAAAATTTATAATACCAAAAAATTAGGTCTGGCCATATAAAGTACTATTAATTATTTTGATATTTGATTACTAAATTACTGATACAAATAATGAAATACATTTTTTGCAAAACCAAGATAAGAAAAAAAATGTTAGAAATTGAAAACGAAACTCTAAACTATATAATACCATAAGTGTTTTAACTAATTTTTTTTAATGTACTCAAAACACATTAACAAATCTAATTCATGTAGAGAACAAAAAAAACATGGGATAATTGCAAAAATGTTCGAAACATGGAAAAACATTAACAAACCACACGAAAGTTGAAGTAGTATATATATAATTTTGTATTCAGTGAAACAAAAAAAGTTGAGAGAGTATGTACCGTGACGTTCGGGAATGAACACTTTGAAGAAGAAAAACCAGAACAAAAACCTGAGTCATGACCCGACCCACCTTCACTCCTGGAGCTCCGTTTTCCATCTCCTTCGCCAATTCACTAAACCTCCAACAAAGATATCAGAAGGTAAGACAATATTGAATTTGTCTATATAGAACTATTAGGTTAATCTCTTGCATAATTTTAATCAGCTAATTTGATCTGTAGATCTATATGGATGTTGTATAAAAATCTTTATACAATTAACACTATTACAAATAAATCTTATATTGTATACACGTACGTCGACTTAGAAAACTTAACCATTTTTCTTTTCTTTGTTTGGTTCCTTTGCAGTTTTGATTCCCTCGAGAAGAAGAAGAGTTCTCTCTTTCTCTACTGAAAAAAATGTTATATCTCTCGTAAAATATCTTTATTTTCCTTTTTCATCATTTTATCTAGATTATAATCTCTAATCATCAAAAAAGAGAGAGATCACAAATCTTTTATAATTTAGATCTAAAAGCGGAAGTGTATTTATATGATATTTGTGGTAACATGAAAATGAAATAAAAAGCCTCAAATTTGTTTCCTTTTGGTTTTGTGAAATGGAAGGTAAGTTTCCAAAATTCTAAACTAGATGTATATAATTTAGAATCTCTAAATAAGTTCATGCATGCCCCAGTGTGCTTTTTTGGGAGGTTATGAGATAAAGAGACGATCTGATTCTAAATATATATGGTTTATTTAACTAAATAAATATCACATGATTTATTCTGAATATGCATCCTCTATATATTAATAGAGGAGATACTAGGTAAAAATCATATGTGTCATCCTAAGAAAGTTTTAAAGAATTCATTTTCTAATAAAAATTATTAAAAATTCTTAATAACAAATATATGGAAATAACGAATATGTGGTAATTAATATAGAAAATTTTATTTAAGAAATATATAAAATATTTGAATATGTGGTAATTAATTAAATA